GGGGCGGAACCCTCCGGGGGCATTGCTGACCCCCCTACTCCTACCCTGTCCCAGCCTAACCCCTCACTTCTACCCCGTCCAGCCTAACCCTCTACTCCTCCCCCTGTCCCAGCCTAACCCCTCTACTCCTACCCCTGTCCAGCCTAACCCCTCTACTCTACCCCTGTCCCAGCCTAACCCCTCTCCTACCCCTGTCCCAGCCTAACCCTCTACTCCTACCCTGTCCCAGCCTAACTCCTCTACTTCTACCCCTGTCCCAGCCTAACCCCTCTACTCCTACCCCTGTCCCAGCCAAAACCCTCTACTCCTACCCCTGTCCCAGCCTAACCCCTCTACTCCTACCCTGTCCCAGCCTAATCCCTCTACTCCTACCCCTGTCCCAGCCTGACCCCTCTACTCCTACCCCTGTCCAGCCTGACCCTCTACTCCTACCCCTTTTGTCCCAGCCTGACCCCTCTACTTCTACCCCTGTCCCATCCTAACCCCTCTACTATTACCCCTGTCCCATCCCAGCCCACTGCCCTAGCCCCAGGCTAACCTTAACCCCTGCCCCAGGCCACTGAGACCACTGACCCAACCTTACACCCTTCTGGAACCAGGCCCCTTACCCCTAACTTACATCTTTAAGCCAGGCAGACTCCCAGCCCTGACCCCCTACCCCTTCCCTTCTCCAGCCTAATTGAGCAGGCGGGCTCCCAGCCCTAACCCCAGGAGCCAGTTAGACCCAGGCTAATCTTACAGCCTCCTGCTGGCCCAGTCGTCCAGCTCCTGACCCCCCAACCCAGCCCAGGCTATAGCCAGGGCCAGCCAGGCATGTGATGCTCAGACAGGTCTGACGTACAGGAAAATGCTGCCTTTCTCTATACACATTCAGAAATAACTACACAAATACATATTATTTACCGTAGCCCATAATGTATATACTAAAACAGCCTCAGCCAAAAACCACAGTCCTACGGAATCCTCGATCATGGCTCATGTTATCCCCCTTTGACCAATGACCATGTTATTACCTCCTTTAGTTTAGCTCATGATTCAGAGGAAAATCCACTTTGATTAAGGGTAATCATTTAACAGGGCTGTGCTGCTGACCATGCCCAATATTACACTCTACTCTGCTTCTGACCAGGCCAAGGCTATATTACAATATTATATAGATTTAAAAACTACGGCTTCGAACCATGCCCAATATGAGTTATCACAAATGACTGCTTCAGACGATGTCCAGAAACCCCTCAGAGGGAAATTAGCATATACTTTCTGCTTTATGTGCCACTGCGATGCTCTGTTCTGTCGACATCATGACATTACAGCATGCTGGCCAGACAATCAGACACTATGAATTCCAGCAGTATTATGATGGTAACCTCAAAATTATAATGGGGACTGGGGTTGGACTGAGTGGGACTGGGTCGCTGCTTTGCTGTTATGTAACTGTGTGGGGACTGAGAGACTGTCTGAATGGGTTTGGGCCTAATGCTTTCTACAGCCTGGCGGATGGATTACACTAAAACAGGAGAGCAGCTACAGAACTACTGATATCTATAACAGAGACATCTCAGAAGAGTGAAAGAGCAAGAAAGAGAGAGAGAGATTTAGAGATGGGACAGAGAAATAAAGGACACACCCACCCGGCCAAGGCCCTGAGAACAACAGCTGAGGAGCCCTTGTCTATTCACACCTCCAGGTTTCCCCCTTTAGCTCTGGTGGTGTGAGGGCGTGGGACCACCCCTGCCACACACACACCTGTCCGAACTCTCCCACCATCATCAGACCCCCCAGAGAAAACCCCCCACCCTCTCCAGTTGCATCCCAACATAATGCAGGCACAGCCCCAGACTTGCCACAGCACATGCTCCACAGCTCTAGCCATGCACACTGCACAGAGTCAGGGTGGGCAAAAGGTTAAATATAGACTAATGGGCAATCTTATCAGGTGGTCTCACTTTTCATTCCAGATACAATTCCCTGAAAAGAGGAAGTCACCCACTAAGACCCCCTCCTCAGCAACCTGGTCTCAGAGCATTTCGTATTATTCTGTCCGTAAATCCAAGACACTCCATTAGTATGATATATTACATTTCATATGGTATGTATTAATTTGTGGATGTCCATCATCCATTTCTTATGATATGTTATGAATACAATTCATATGATATGTTTCGAATTTGCAAAACATACAATATTTGTAAATTTGCTAAACGTATGATATGTAACAAATTCAATTTGTTGTGGCTAACGTTAGCTAGGTGGCTAGGTGGCTTAGCATTAGCCAGCTGGCTAACGTTAGCTAGGCTAGGGGTTAGGGGTTAGGGTTAAGGTTAGGAGTAAGGTTAAAGTGTTAAGGTTAGGGTTAGGGTTAGGGGAATGGTTAGCTAAAAGAGTTAAGGTTAGGGTTAGGGTTGGCTAACATGCTAAGTAGTTGCAAAAGTAGCTAAAAAATAGTAAGTAGTGAAAAGTTGCTAGTTAGCTAAAGTTGTCCATGATGAGATTTGAAACAATCAACCTTTGGGTTGCTGGACGTTCGTGTTATACACCAACCAACCACCCTCTTCTCGTTTTTGCCTTAGGTAACCTTCAGTGTTATGTAACCATACCAAACATATCATACTAATTTGGGGTGCTCCTGGTTTACTTGTACTATTTTTACGTCTAGTTTATGAGACCAGGCTATCCGGAGAGAGGTAACCTCGTCCCAGGCTATTGCGCACAGCGCGTGGAATCGAGATTATTTTTACAATCCATTCTTTCTTATCCCTTCCCTTCCTTTCAACTGCACAGTGGAACAAGACGTGCGTGTGTGTGGAATACAAAATTTTAGATTATTAATTTTTTCTCGGATTGGATAGGCTACTGGTTTTCAACTCTGTTATTTTCAAGGATAAAGTTGTAGTCTATTGAAACGCTTTCTAGAATTTCACCGTTGCCAAATCGTCCTTTGGATAAAAATGAGCACTTGAGGGAAAATTGGGGACTAAAAGGAAATAAAGAACCTTATTTCTTCGTTTTGAAGGATTTGCGAGGGTAAATTGACAGTATAGCTCCCAAATGAAATGGTTATCCTACTATTCATATTAGGGCCCGGGGGGAAATTGATGTCAAATTGCCGCAAGGAATGCTCAAATGTATTTAAAACTATGTACGTCCATGCAATGTAAAGTGTAATTGGATCATATATATTGATGCATTTACGCACAGAGGAAAACGTATGCTTGTCTTCAATTTCATCACTCTCTGTGGCAGCTGGTTTTGCAGTCAGTCAAAGAATAGTTAGTATCAGCATCGGGTCAAGAGTGTTAATAGTCAGAGAATGATGGTTTAACTGCTTGGCTGTGGATTAGTAAGAGGAAAGGTTCTATGAAGCCTACTCGCGCATAAAACATAGGAAACAGTTGGCGCTTCTGCTCGCGGATGGGTTGTAAATTATTAGTTGCTGAATTTAGATAGCTCGTTCTTCTCCTTGTGAACATTACTGTTTACATATATTCACATACTTTGAAATGCAAGAGCAATGTCAAAGATAGCTGGTCAGACGTTAGAATAACCAGACTCAGACTGTAATTTGCACGGGAACGTCAGCACATGCCTTGAGAGTGTGTCAGTGCTGTGTCAGTGCCATCATGCCCTCTGTAAACACTGGCCAATTGAACACAATTATTGACCCAGAGTGTTTAGGAATGCAGAAACTGTAGCTGCATTAGGTCACACTTTATTTGGATAGTCCGGATGTGTGATAACTCTACAGATGGTCATACTATCAACCAGTGATGTAAAGTACTTAAGTAAAAATACTTTAAAGTATTACTTAAGTAGTTTTTGGGGGTATCTGTACTTTACTTTACTATTTATATTTTGCCAACTTTTACTTCACTACATTCCTAAAGAAAATAATATACTTTTTACTCCAAAAGAATCGTTACATTTTGAGACGAAAATTGTCTATTCACACACTTATCAAGAGAAACGTCCCTGGTCATCCCTACTGCCTCTGATCTGGCGGAACTCACTAACACAAATGCTTCGTTTGTAAATTATGTCTCGGTGTTGGAGTGTGCCCCTGGCTATTCATCAATAAAAATAAAAATAAATAACAATGCCGTCTGGTTTGCTTAATATAAGGATTTTTATATGGTTTATACTTTTACTTTTGATACTTAAGTACATTTTAGCAATTCCATTTACTTTTGATACTTAAGTATATTTAAAAACCAAATACTTTAGACTTTTACTCAAGTAGTATTTTACTTGGTGACTCACTTTTACTTGAGTCATTTTCTATTAAGGTATCTTTACTTTTAAGTATGACAATTGAGTACTTTTTCCACCACTGCTATCTATCAACAAACTGTCTGTTGATAAGCAAATGCTTGCTAAGGTTAGGGTTAGTCCTTAAAATAAGGTTTAGGGTAAGGGTTAAGTTTAGGGTCCAGGATAAGGGTTAGGGCTAGTGTTAGGGTTAGTAGATAGTTAGTTGAAATGTTACTGATAGTCTGTAGATAGTCTGTAGAGGCATCTACAGATGGACTATCCAAATAAAGTGTTACCCTGCATTAAAGTTGTTACTGCAGAGATTGTGTGTGTGTTGTCACATTGACCTATATATTTCTATATCGTCAGTGAGCGGCCCTCCTATAGAAGATGGTTCCCTGTGTGTGTGGTGTGTCCCTGGCTGTTGGTGGTGGTGGTGTTGCTGACCCTGGTGTCTCCTGTGGTGCCTGCCCTATGCCTGCTCTTGCTACCAGCCCACTGAACTACATTGCACCTTCAGGTCTTTGGTCAATATACCACAACCCCTACCGCAACACACACTGCACATCAACCTGGGGTAAGGCCTGCGCACAAATACATACACACCACACACACACACACACACCCACACACACACACCACACACACCATTCCATTGGCTGATGCTGTTTCTCTCTGGGTACTGAAAGGTTCAACAGTATCAGCAGGATCCCAAGACAGCTCATTGGCCGGTCTGAGGAGGCTGGCGCTGCTGATGCTTCATGGGAATGACATCCCATGAGATTCCTGACGGAGCGTTCCAAGATCTGTCCTCCCTTCAGGTACTGAGGCTTAAAGAGTTGCCATGGAGAGGAGAGGGGTCCAAATTAGCTAATAATTGGGAAGCAAATGTCAATTGGTTCTATTGAGCTTAGACACTGTTATTGTATTGTGTTGTTGTGTTCATTTGACTCACATTGATGTGTATGTATTGTTGTTTATATGCTGGAGGAGTTTATACCATGTATTTTCAATTACCATTAATTAATTACCATCCCTGTCGTCGTCCCCCCCCAGGTCCTGAAGCTGAGCTATAACAAGCTGAGGGAGATCTCAGCAAATAGCTTCTCAGGCCTGTCCTCTCTACAGCGCCTCCACCTGGATCACAACTGGCTGCAGTCCCTCCACCCCCAGGCCCTGCTCCGCCTCCCCCAACCTCAGACTGATCCGGCTGCAGGGGAACCGGCTCCACCAGCTGCATCCTCAGACCTTCTGCAACTCTGTCCCTGCTGAAGACATTCTGCTACTCCACCCTCAGGTGAGTTTTCTACAGTCTTAATTTATCAATTTATTCACTCTTAGTCATAGGTCACGCCTAAAGAGTAGTGCACTACTTAGAGAATAGGGTGTCATTTGTGACTGGACTATCCCCCTCCTCTCCCCAGCATCTGACGTGGTCCAACAACAGTCTGACTCAACCTGCCCAGAGACACACTGAGGACCGCCCCTCTTCTGGAGTCCCTAGCTCTGCAGGCCAACCCCTGGACCTGCGACTGGCAGCATGGCTTGGCTGCAGGCCTGGAGCATCTCTCACCTAAGTGACTATCCACACTACAATAACCCCTAACCTTACACTAGTTATTGGGATGCTTATTTGGGTGAGGAAATACTGATTCTTCTCTTCTCTCTCAGGGTTGTTGAAATGTCCGGGGCCACAGTGCCTGGTCTGTGCCTCACCCAATCACCTGAAGGGACGTGGTCCCTTTGCAAGCAGAAAGAACTTATCCTGCACCTCGCCTGTAAATCGCCACCAATCCCAGAGCCTCATCTCAGGAGGATGCGAAGTTCAATCAATAGAAAACTTTAGAGAGGCTTTAGGCCACGCCTCCCTGGGGATGTCCCGACCAACAGGGGAATGCCGTTGATCTGAAGTGGTAAACATCACACACTCCTCACAGACTCCTGACATTACCCCACCACACCTTTCCTCCTCCTTCACACCCCCCTCTCCCATCAAGCTCTCCCTCTCCCTGGACTGTGGGGTGGATGGGCACCGCTATGAAAGGCTGTGGAGGCTGATGGCCTACTACAGTGAGACGCCTGTCAGGCTTCAGAGAGAAATCATGTTGAGTAAGCCCCAAGACTTGCCTACAGGTATGAAATTACAGAAACACACACAACACATTCCTGTGTTATTATCCTCTTTACCTGTACAATTTTGGTTTTAACCCCAACACATTCATTTCATGTCCTTCAGGTACAGACAGAGAGCAGAGAGAGAGGGCTACTACCATACAGGGTCGGGCCAGTCTCCAAGCCCAAGCCTGCCTGGTTACTGCGCCCCATGTCAGTCTCCAGTTCAACAGAGCTCAGTCCAGCACCCACAGGTGTTAAACTGACTCTGTCCACCCTGGTGTCTGCCCCCCCAGACCTCCCATCCCCACACCCCTGGGTCCTCATCCAGAACCAACCACACCCACACAGCTGTTTACAGCAGCCGCAGACAGCCAGATCCACCTGCCCTGCCCTGTCCTTAGCTCTACTGCAGACCTAAGCTCTGGAGATCCCAGGCTCCAATGGGTGTTCCCAGATGGTTCAACAGTCTCCTCCCCCTACCACAGCTCAATGGTAAGGTCCGTGTGTCTGGCCAAGGGCTGATCCTGCAGAGAGTGGATCACTCTGATGCTGGACTGTACTACTGCGTGGCCCGGGCGGGAGGAAATGTCGATGTTCTCCCCCTTCGTCTGGTGGTAGTAGAATCATCCAACCCTCCCCCAGGGGAGGAGCTAGGCCCGCTGTGACTGGATTGGTTGGAGACCCTGTCAAGTCTGCCGTTGCGAGGCCTCTGGTTCACCGAGGGTTGAGGTGAACTGGGTTTCTTCCTGGCAGGGGAGTGGTAGGGAGTAGGAACAAGAGGAGAAGAAGGGGGGGGGAAGGGGTGACTGTCTTAGCCAATGGTACCCTGTCTCTCCCCCTTTCCTGGGCTGGGAGACGCAGGCTATACCGGTGTGTAGCGGTGAACCAGCACGGTGCTGACTCTCTCTCCACCAGACTGATTCTAACCCCACGTCCTTCCGACACCTCATCACGCATGACATATCCCATGAGGCCACAGTCTGTGGCGGGGGTGTCCAACAGGTTACCAGCCCCTCTAGGGGGAAAGGAGGTTGAAGAGGGGGGTGTCAGGAAATGACGAAGGGGAGGAGGAGAACATACTCCCACCAGGGCAGTTACACCAGGAGGAGAGGTCCTAGACCCCAAATCCCCCTGACCACGGCCGCCCCCCCCATTGGATCCCACACAGTGAGGGTGGAGGGAGGCGGATCCCCTCAGAGGGCAGGAGGCCCCTGAGGAGAGGCTTCCCTGTGGAGCAGAGGAGGAAACAGGCTGGGAGGCCGCCGGAGGTTAACCTGGCCAAACACAAGATAGACCCTCAGAAATGGGCCGACCCTGCTGGCTAAGATACGTGAAAGGACTGCCCCTAAAATCACAGACCCCTGTATGTACCATCCCCAACTAGAGCACTACTACCACCTCAGCCCCAACTAGAGCAAAAGACAACCCACCTCAACCCCAACTGAAGCAAAGACAACCACCTCAACCCCCAACTGAAGCAAGGGCAACCACATCAACCCCAACTGAAGCAAAGACAACCACCCTAACCCCAATGAAGCAAAGACAAACCACCTCAACTCAACTGAAGCAAAGACAACCACCTCAACCCCAACTGAAGCAAAGACAATCACCTCAACCCCCAACTGAAGCAAAGACAACCACCTCAACCCCAACTGAAGCAAAGACAACCACCATCAACCTAGAGCACAGTCAACCAGAATACAGACAGATAAACAGACAGACAGAAAGCAATGAGACAACCAGAATGCAGACAACCAGAACAAAGCCAGGCAGCACACAACCAAAGACCACACAACCAAATACCACACAAACCAACTACCACACTACCAAAGATCACACCAGAGGTTACAGTGGGAAGAAAATCCCCTCAACGTACTGTATTGGAGTCAGAGGCTGATACCACAGAGGGTTTTTCCATAGATGTCCCCAGTCTACAGGAAGAGGGGGTTGAACACTGTCCACACATCACTGATCCCAGACCTGCTAACAAAGGATAGAGTGGCCCCAGAGGCAACAAACACTGCAGATCAGACCATAACTTCTCCCAGATCCCTCAGTCAAACACAGACACAAATACAGGGACAGGAACAGAGACAGAGAGTTCTCCTAAAAGCACAAAGCCAAACCTCCGGCATCAATGACATTAGCACAGAGAGGAGACAGAGCGATTGCTCCTGTAAGGACCACAGGTGAGAGGGGGAGGTATGGAACAACAAACTCTGGACATGTAACGTCTCCAACTCTGTCCCGTCACAATCCAGATCCCCTGGAATTCCAGGAGCAGGCCCGGCCAGGAGAGACGCATCAACAGACCCAGAGGACGACCACTGCCCGCCAGAATACCCAGGTCCAACCTCCCCTCCACCAGAATACTCCAGGTCCAACCTCCTCCCTCGCACAGAATACCCCTGGTCCAACCTCCCCTCGCCAGAATACCGCAGGTCCAACCTCCCCTCGCCAGAATACCCCAGGTCCAAACCTCCCCTCTCCAAGAATAACGCAGGTCCAACCTCCCTCGCCCATAATACGCAGGTTCCAACCTCCCCTCGCCAGAATAACCCCAGGTCCAACCTCCCCTCGCCAGAAATATCCCAGGTCCAAACCTCCCCTCGCCAGAATACCCCAGGTCCAACCTCCCCTCGTCAGAAATATGCCCAGGTCCAACCTCCCCTCGCCAGAATACCCCAAGTCCAACCTCCCCTCGCCAGAATACCACCCAGAGCAACACTTACAGACCCCAGGGAACTGCCAGCAGCTGCTACAACCACTACTATAACCACTACTATAACCACTACTATAACTGCTGCTCCATCCTCTACTAGGATCACTGCTCCATCAAGCACATTCGTCTCCCCCCCTGCCTCCTTTCCTGCCCTCTCCCCCCCAGACACACACAGACAGGGTTGACTCACTCAGCAAACACTGCTGCTCGTCTCCCTGACAGGTCCCAAACGACTAGCACACACAACACAGATTCGCACCACACGCTCGGCACACACAACTGGCAAACATACACCACACAGTCACAACAACTAGTACACACACAGGCCAAACATAAAACCCACCAGTCACACACAGCGACACAGACAAACAGAGTTATGCTGAAACAGAGGGTCAGGTCTGGGCTACTTCAAAAGAGCCAGGATCCATCTGTCTTCAACCAACACAACCCAGAGGATATCAAAGCAACTCCCCCTCAGTCTGGAACCACACCAGGCAGAACAACATCTACTGGCACTGAGAAAGAACCCAGTGAGATAGAACCCCTTTACCCCAGCTACTGATGAAGAACCCAATGAGGAAGAACCACCAGCAACTGATGAAGAACCCAGTGAAATAGAACCAACCAGCACTGATGAAGAACCCAGTGAGATAGAACCACCAGCAACGGATGAAGAACCCCAGTGAGATAGAACCACCAGCAACGGATGAAGAACCCAGTGAGATAGAACCCCCAGCCACTGATGAAGAACCCAATGAGATTGAACCACCAGCCACTGATGAAGAACACAATGAGGGTAGAACCACCAGCAACTGATGAAGAACACAGAGAGGTAGAACCATCAGCTATTGATGAAGAACCCAGTGAGATAGAACCACCCTACCCAATCACTGATGATGAACCCAGTGAGATGGAACCAGTTTATCTAGCACCTGATGAAACCAGAGGGGAGACAGCCAGAGTCAGAAAAAAACAACTCTCTTTCATCTACCAACACAAACTACTGTCCCCAAACACAACTGAACAGCAGCTACCACTGCTTCAGCCATCACCCTCCTCTACAGTCATGACCTCCATTAGAAGAAACTACCACTATAACTATTCCTACAACTACTACAACCACTATTCCCACAACTACTACCACTATTCCTACAACTACAACTACTATTACTTCAAACCACTATTCCCACAACTACTACCACTAATTCCCACAACTTCTACACTATTCCCACAACTACTATCACTATTCCCAAACTACTACCACTATTCCACAACTCTACCACTATTCCCACAACTTCTACCACTATTCCCACAACTACTATCACTATTCCCACAACTACTACCACTATTCCCACAACTACTACCACTATCCCACAACTACTACCACTATTCCTACAACTACTATTCCCACTACTACTACTACTACTACCACTCCTACTACTACAACAGTCTGGAGGAATCCAGGGGTAAACCGGGCAATCCCAGACTCACATGGCAGTCGCTACTTAAAACCCCCCCCAGACCTACCACCAAGCTACCCCACCTACCCCGCCCCCCACCTTACCCACCTACCCACAACACCTTATCACTAGGCCTGACCCAGTCAGACTCCACCCCCTATAAAACACGCACCCTCTCTCCCCACACCCTGTCAACCCCAAACTCTTCTCCCAGACATTTTAGAGACCCCTTCCTCTGAGTCCCCACCACAAGAGCTCCCTCGAGCCCCCCCAAGACCTCCCCACCCACCACAGACCCTCAGGCCGGCTCAACACTGGCTCTACTCCTCCTCGTTCCCCACCCCTCTCTCCAGACCGTAGTGTGACTGCCCAACGCTCCCCTCAGACCACTGTCCTGCGTGTCAGGCCCCGTATCACTCCCCCCCATGTGCGCCCCATGTCTGTCCCCAGCTGAGAGTGACGCCCTCCTGCCATGCGAGGCCATTGGACAGCCTCCTCCAACCATCACCTGGATCAAGGTCTCCACAGGTACGCCACACACTCTACTCTCAGTTCTACACACAATACATGCTACTGTCACTCACATACACACAATATGTACTTTGTCATACATACACCTTACTCAACTACACTCACTACTGTCCCTCATACACACAATATGTACTTTGTCATACATACAACCTTACTCAATACACTCACTACTGTCACTTATACACACAATATGTACTTTGTCATACATACACCTTACTCAATAACACTCACTACTGTCACTCATACACACCACTATGTACTTTGTCATACATACACCTTACTCAATACATTCACTACTGTCACTCATACACACCAATATGCCACTCAATATGTATTTCTGTCTGCCCCAGGAGCTGTGATGTCACTGGACTCCAAGGCAGAGCGTTTTCCAGGTCCTACCCAACGGAACCTTTTTCATCCAGAGCGTGCAGGTCCAGGACCGGGGGACATATATCTGCAGCGCACAGAACTCTGTGGGCCTTGACCGCGCCATGGTGACCCTGGAGGTCTGGTCCCGCCCACCACGCATTCAGCTACCCACTCACAGAGAGGCCACAGTGCACCAGGGGGGCGAGGTGAGGTTGGAGTGTCGTGCTCAGGGGGTGCCTGTCCCTCTGCTGTCCTGGGTACTACCTGACCGCTCCGTTCTGACCCCCAACCTAACTCCAACCCCTGCCATGGCCCTCACCCCCGGGTGTCTATATTCCCTAATGGTACTCTGCGTATCGTGGCTGTCGGCCCAGCAGACAGAGGACTGTATCGCTGTGTAGCCTCCAACCCAGCAGGGGCAAGCAGTCTGTCAGTCCGACTCCATGTCTCATCCCTGCCTCCAGCCATCCAGCAGCCCAGAGAGGAGAGGGTAACCCAGCCCGCTGGCATGCCTGTCTACGCCCACTGCTCTGCCCGGGGAGCCCCCGCTCCCTCCATCCGCTGGAGGACCCCTGACGGCACCCTGCTGCTCCCCTCTCAATTCCTCAACGGGAACCTGTTTGTCCTCCCCAACGCCACCTTGCTGATACGCAAGCTTGCCACTAAGGACTCTGGGAGCTACGAGTGCCTGGCGACTAATGCAGTGGGCGGGGATAAGAGGACGGTGAGGGTGGAGGTTGACTGGAGATGAACGAGGAGGAGTTGTCTCCACAGATAAAAACTAACATCCTCCTCTTCCATTAACAGTAACTCTGAACCTGACCCCCTCCTCAGCCATTCTTAACCCTCCTCTCCGGTCCTCCTCCCCCCTCAGTAAGGCTAAGATCCTCTCCACCTCTCCATCCAGTTCTATAGTCGTATATGGTGAAACTCTGCTCCTTCACTGTTCAGCAACCGGCAACCCAGAGCCTAGAGTAGTCTGGAGGACACCTGGCAAGAAACTAGTGGATGCCCACTACAGGTGTGTGCTTGTCCATATTGATTACTGATCTGTTTAATCTAGTCTGTCTCTGTTGTATTGATTGATTGTCTGTGTCTTGTGCTGATGTATCTAACTTATCCTCTCTGTGTTGTATTTCCAGTTTTGACAAGAGGATGAAGGTACACAGTAATGGAACCCTGTATATCCAGTCGGTGACAGAGAAAGATGGGGGGGGACTATTTATGTGTCGCACGAAACTAAAATGGCTGACGACTACCGCCTCCTCCGTGTCACTGTGGTCACAAAGCCCACAAAGCCCGCTAAGATTGAGCCAAAGCAGCCGTTCAATCAGAAGGTTGGTGTCGTATGGAGCAGCTTTAAAGGTAGACTGTCTGGGCGACCGGGCAGCCCGACCCCGCAGTGAGATGGAGCCTACCGGACGGAACCTCAGTGAAACAGCATCTGTTGCAAGGGGACGAGAGAGGGGGACGGAGGAGGGCGGCTGGTGGTGTTTGACAACGGGACTCTGTACCTCCCCTCAGTGGGGATGGGGGAGGAGGGGAGTATGTCTGCCACGCTGAGAACCAGGTGGGGGAAGAGACTCCATGAGGGTGATGATCAAAGTCCTCGCCTCACCCCCTTCCTTCCCTAGAACCAGATATGAGGTCATCAAGGTGGCAACAAGGGGGGCGGGTGGCTCTGAACTGTGGGGCCAAAGGAGAGCCCATCCCTACAGTCACATGGTTCTCTCCAATCAATCGTGTCATCCCTGTGGGGGGGTCCGGTCCAGTTGTAGTGCCGGCCAGATGGCTCCTTGGTGATCCAGGGGCTAGAGGGGGCTGACGGAGGAAACTAACACCTGCCGAGCCAGCAACACTACTGGGGAGAGGAGAAGGGTGATGGGGGTGGAGGTGATGGTGACCCCATCCAGCTTCACTCTTAATGGGACTAGGGGTGGACTCGATGGGACAGACAGACAGACAGCTGTTGTTAGTGGTAGTGGAGTCAGTGCTGGGATCACCATCAGTCAGTCTGCAGGGAGGGTTCAGTCAGTCAGTATTGGTAATGGTGTCAGTAGTGGTAATGGTGTCATTAATAATGAAGTCAGTCATAATGGAGTTAGCAATGTAGGGGACCAGAGGGTCTCAGCAGTAAGAGGCCAGACAGTTATTTGCCCTGTCCATCCCAGGGCTTCCCTCCACCCCGCCCGGCCTGGTTGCTGCCTGGTAACGGGGTTCTCCCGGCGCCTTACTACGGCAGCAGACTCACCGTGCACCGCAACGGAACCCTGGAGCTGCGGGGGGTGAGGGCAAGCGATGCTGGCATGCTGGTGTGTGTCGCTCGTGGTGAGAGGGGCGAGGCTCGGATCATGGTAAATCTGGAGGTCATAGACACACAGGACACACCTCGCTCCAGAGGCCCAGTGACCACAGAGAAACCTCGCCCAGTAGGCCCAGTCGCAACAGAGAAACCTCACCCATTAGGCCCAGTTAGCACAGAGAAACCTAGCTCAGGAGTCACAGTTACAGAGGAGACATCTCGACCTAGAGGTCCAGTAACCACAGAGAAATCTCGCCAGGAGACACCTCACCCGAGAGGCCCAGTCACTACTGAGAAACCTCACTTGGGAGGCCGAGTCAGCACAAAGAAACCTCGCCCAGTAGGCGGGGATAAGAGGACAGTACCAGGAGTCCCATTCCGAGGGGGACACACCTCGCCCAAGAGGCCCAGTGCCAGAGCAGCGAGGAGTGTCATCCTGGAGAGGAAGCCTGTGGTCGTCAGCAGATCAGCTTCTCTGGTCAGCATCATAAGCGGAGAGAATCTACGGCTACCCTGCCCCAGACAGACAGCCCCAGTCAGAGTTCCAGCCAGACTCAGCCTTTGACCTGGACGTTGCCCAGCGGGGTGGTCGTGTCTCGGGGCCAGACGGCAGGGACGGGTCAGTACTCAGTCCTGGATGACGGGACTCTGACGGTGCAGCAGGCGTCTGTGTTCGACAGGGGGACCTACTCCTGTCGATCCACCAATCAGAACATGTTGTCTATCCTGACAGTTCCAGTGATTGTCATCGCCTACCCCCCCCGCATCACCAACGGCCCCCCTCCCCTCACCTACACCCGGCCCGGAGTTGCTGTGCAGCTCACCTGCTACGTCATAGCAACCCCCCAAGCGAACCATCACCTGGGAAATGCCGGACCAATCCCAGCTAAGGGTCACAGGTCAGGCCCGTCTCTATGGCAACCGGTACCTGAGCCCCCAGGGTTCCCTGGTAATCCAGAACCCGACCAGCAGAGACACTGGGTTCTAACCGCTGTACTGCACGAACGTCATTGGAACCGACACCAAGGCCACTTATCTACATGTGATCTAACAGAACACACACAGTGAGAACCTGGTCCTGCTTATCCTCGTGTCTGGAGGAGACCACACACACACCACACACACACACACACACACACACCACACACACACACACACACACACACACACACACACACACCACACACACCCACCCAAACACCGCACCCCACAAAGCACACACCCCACTTTTTTCCCTAAGAAATGCAAAGTTAAATACCGAAAATCCCGTTTAAACCCAAAACGTAAAAGATTGTAAATTGAGAATATAAAACCAAAAGCATTTACAGCCATTTGTGGGTTTTGCATCTAACCCTCCAGAGTGTTTTTTTGCATTTAAAGCCAAAAGTGTGTTATTCAAACTAACTTCAGAGTTGGGTTTTTGAAACTTACAACCCCGGGGTGTTAGCATTTTCAGCCAGAGTGTTTTTATGCATTTTTACAAACCATAGTGTGTTTAAAGTCTTCAGCCCTAGTGTGTTAAGCATCTAACATCCCTAGTGGGTTTGAATTAACATCCCCTAGGGGTTAGGGTCAACCATCCGAGTGTTTATGCATTTTACAGCCGAGGGTGTTTTTTTATTTACAGCCCCTTTTTGTTTTTATGCACTAACATCCAGAGGGTGTTATGCATTTACAGCCCCGAGTTTTGTTATTCATCCTTTTCGCCAAGTGTGTTATGCCTTACAGCCCTGTGGGGGTTTTGATCTAACCCCCATGTGTGTTTTTCATCTTACCCCAGAGGGTGTTATTATCCTTACGAAAAAGTGGGGTTTATTCCTTTCAGCCATAGGTGATGGTCTAACATCCGGGGTTATGCATCTTACAGCCAGAGTGTGTTATCATTTTTCCCAGCCATAGGGGTGTTAAAGCTCAAACATCCATATTTGTGTTATGCATCTTAAAAGCCAAGGGTTTTATATCTTACAGCCATAGTGTGTTTATGCATTTTACACCAATGTGTTTGCCTAACCAGAGGTGTTATCATTTTAAACAGCCAGAGGGTGTTATTTTTTAAAAAGCCATAGTGTGTAATGCATCTTACACCATAGTGTGGTTAAGCATCTAACTCCATAGTGTTTTATGCATCACATCCATGTTGTTAGCATCTAACATCCAGAGTGTGTTATGCATCTTACAGCCAGAGGGTGTTATTTATCTTACAGCCATAGTGTGTTATGCATCTAACATCCAGAGTGTGTTATGCATCTTACAGCCAGAGTGTGTTATGCATCTTACAGCCAGAGTGTGTTATGCATCTTACAGCCATAGTGTGTTATGCATCTTACAGCCATAGTGTGTTATGCATCTAACATCCAGAGTGTGTTATGCATCTTACAGCCAGAGGGTGTTATTTATCTTACAGCCAGAGTGTGTTATGCATCTTACAGCCAGAGTGTGGTATGCATCTTACAGCAATAGTGGAGTTGTAAAAGCAATGAGCAGCTCTGAGAAGCAACGTCATCATTCAGCAACAATAAATATTGTCAACATCACAGACTATATCAGGGAGTAAAATCATCAGCTGTTGCAATACACATCATGCAAGACAACATATTCAGCTCTGTATTACAACCTTTATGAACTTTTACCTCCATAATATCTAAAGTGGCCTTATGAGTCCCGTGTATAGTTGTGTATTTATGAGCAGAACAAATGTTTGATAGTAGTCACAGAACTCCTCCAATGATAGTTCTGTGGAGCCACAGGAGGCTGCAGCACTCTGTGTCTGCAGCTCTCTGTGTCTGCAGCACTCTGTGTCTGCAGCTCTCTGTGTCTGCAGCGCTCTGTGTCTGCAGCGCTCTGTGTCTGCAGCTCTCCAACCCTGCAGGCTCGATCACTCTTCCAGCCATTTAGGCTGTAGGCTACATACATCCCAGATCTGTCAAATAAACACAACAGTTACCAAGTCTTTGAAGATGGTATTTGTAGTAATTACATATTTTTATATACAGTAGAATAGATGTCTGTATGGCTCCAGTGTCTGATCAAGCATGTAAAATCTGATATCATCATGTTTTAATTTCGTTTAAATTATTTGTCTTGTAAAGACCTGTGATGTAAAGTTGTTATTTTGTGCCTCTTGTCATAAAGATGATAACAATTATGCTTTTTCCCCCAACTGCTACATTTTATAAATAAAAGATAAAACAAATTCAGTCTGCTCATCAAAGCATGGTATTTTAGGTGTGTAGGTGTGTGTCCTGGGAGGGACAGAACCAGTGGGTTTGTTTGGGAACATCAGGCTTTGTATCCCATGAGTCTCAGCAGAGAAAACAGGAAATGGTCTTAATAATTCTTAAGAGTCTATTGACGCACCCGTGCGTCAATCTAAGTAACATAATAAAATAATCCAATAAAAAAATCTGTCAGTTTAAGCTAGAGATATTTGTTTTTTTTCAATCCACTGCATCCGCCTATGTCGGCCTTCTGCATCCTTGGTGGAAGGTGGCCGACCTACAGCGGTGTTTGTCAGACCATGAGACATACCGAAAATCGATCTTCTCATGAAAACGTCTGTAGTTTTCTGAATGGTTTGGCCTGCAAACTAATATAATCACTCTATGGAAAGATGAGACTCACACAAGACTCGCACAAGTGTCACGGGACTCGTCTGAAGATAACCCATACAAATGAATGGAAGTATGGAGGTAGTTTTGTGCCCCAAAAAATAAGGGATTAAATATGTGTACTGTATATGTCCTAGGTATAAAACAGACACTTCAAAACCTTTCTTTATGATATTAATGTGTTATTCAATGCGTTTCTATGGGCTATAGTAGTAAAGGCCAAATTCAATATTTTAAATATTTGTTTTAAACCTATAGGGGTGTCACGGTTTCGGCCGAGGCATGCTCCTCCTCCTGGTTCGGGCAGGCTTCGGCGGTCGTCGTCCCCGGAGTACTAGCTGCCACCGATCTATGTTTCATGTTCGTTTGGTTTTGTCTTGATGTTGTACACCTGTGTCTTGTTAGTCCTCGTTAGTGTCCTATTTAGTTCTCGTTGTGTGTGTTTGTCTTTGTGTGTGATTGCTCTTCTGTTTTGTGTTGGAGCTACGTACTTCCCTCCAGTGTTTTGGAGAGGTTTTTCGCACATGTTAGTGCGCCGTTTGTTTGACGCCTGTGTGCGCCGTTATTTCGCCTTCGGGCTTATTGTGCTTATTTTCTACGTGAATATTGCACTAAAGTCTTTTGGACTGAGCTTCTGCGTCCTGCGCTTGATTCATGCACCACACCCACCTTCAGCACCCCTTGACAGAATCACACACCAAAATGGAATCAGCAGGATCTGCAGTTACGCCTGAGTCGCTCGAGGAGCATGTTCGCGGCCAAGATGACCAGATACGACAACTGGGGACCACTCTACAGGAAGTCATCAACACCCTGCACCGATGGGAGGCCAGCGGGGTACCCACACCTCCACCTACCCTGCCAACCCCATCGGCCGGTCCACCAGTCCCAGGTCCGGAACCCAGGGGGATTCGGCTCTCGCTCCCGAGGGCGTACGACGGAACAGCTGCCGGGTGTCAGGGGTTCCTCCTGCAGGTGGAGCTCTACCTGGCCACTGTACACCCGGTGCCCTCGGGACACGAGAGCGTTTCCGCCCTCATCTCCTGTCTCACGGGCAAGGCATTGGAGTGGGCTAACGCCGAGTGGAGGAAGATGGACGCCAACACCATCTCCTACGCCGAGTTCTCCCGCCGCTTCAAGGCCGTGTTCGACCATCCACCTGAGGGCAAAGCGGCGGGGGAGCGTCTAGTCCACCTGAGACAGGGGAGGAGGAGCGCACAGGCGTTTGCTCTAGAGTTCCGGACTCTAGCGGCGGACGCAGGGTGGAATGAACGGGCCCTCATCGACCATTTTCGATGTAGCCTACGGGAGGACGTTCAACGTGAGTTGGCCTGCAGGGATACCCATCTCACCTTCGACCAGTTGGTCGATATGTCCATCCGTCTGGACACCCTGCTGGCCACCCGTGGACGTCCCGAGGGGGGTCCATCCATTCCGCCCTCCGGCACCTCCGAGCCGAGCCCTATGGAGCTCGGGGGTGCCGGCGCTAGAGAAAGGAGGAGGAGGAGCCCGAGGGGGCCTGTCTCCTGCACCAAGTGCGGTCGTGGAGGGCACACTGCGGCCAGGTGCTGGGGAGGGTTCTCCGGGGGAGAAGACAACAGGCCACGCACTGGGGGGGCCTCCCAGGTGAGTAGACGTGCCACTTACCCAAAGCTTTCTGTTGCGCACTTTTGTATACCTGTGTGTTTTCCACAGGTTGCACCTCATTCCCAGCATAAGGCGCTAGTAGATTCAGGCGCAGCTGGGAATTTTGTTGATCGGAAGTTTTGTTTAGATTTAGGGATCCCTCTCCTACCTGTTGACAAACCTTTTCCCGTTCATGCCTTAGATAGCCGCCCGTTGGGGTCGGGGTTGATTAGGGAGATCACAGCACCACTTAGGATGTGTGCGCAGGGGGGTCATGAAGAGACTATACAGCTGTATCTGATCGACTCTCCTGCGTACCCAGTGGTGCTGGGAATTCCCTGGTTAAGCACCCATAACCCTGCTATTTCGTGGCAACAGAGGGCTCTCGATGGGTGGTCTGCTCAGTGCGAGGGGCGATGTCTGGGTGTTTCCGTGGGGGCGACTTCGGTGGAAAGTCCAAACCAAGTGCCCGCACTGCACATTCCGCCTGAATATGGGGATTTAGCTCTCGTGTTTAGTAAAACTAGGGCGACGCAGTTGCCTCCTCATAGACAGGGGGATTGTGCGATTGATCTCCAGGCAGGAGCAGCGCTCCCACGGAGCCACGTGTATCCTTTGTCTCAAGAGGAGAGAAAAGCTATGGAGACTTACATAGCCGAATCTTTGAGACAGGGATACATTCGGCCCTCCACTTCTCCCGCCTCCTCGAGTTTCTTTTTTGTGAAGAAGAAAGATGGAGGGTTGCGCCCGTGCATTGATTACCGTGGTCTCAATCAGATTACTGTGAAATACAGTTATCCACTCCCTCTGATTGCGACCATGACAGAGTCATTGCATGGAGCGCGGTTTTTCACAAAATTGGATCTCAGGAGCGCGTATAACTTGGTGCGCATTAGGGAGGGCGACGAATGGAAGACAGCGTTTAGTACCACGTCAGGTCATTTCGAATATCTCGTCATGCCATATGGGTTGATGAATGCTCCATCAGTCTTCCAATCCTTCGTAGATGACATTTTCCGGGATATGCAGGGACAAGGGGTGGTCGTGTACATTGATGACATTCTGGTGTACTCGTCTACCCGAGCCGAGCATATAACCCTGGTGCGTCGTGTATTGAGGAGGCTGTTGGAGCACGACCTATATGTCAAGGCAGAGAAATGTCTGTTTTTCCAGGAGTCGGTCTCCTTTTTGGGTTATCGGTTGTCCGCGTCAGGGGTGAGGATGGAGGTGGATCGTGTGTCCGCTGTGCGTAATTGGCAAACTCCAACCACTGTAAAAGAGGTGCAGCAGTTCTTGGGCTTTGCGAATTACTACCGGAGGTTTATCCGGGGTTTTGGACAGGTGGCAGCTCCCATCACGTCCCTTCTGAAAGGGGGTCCGGTGCGCCTGCAGTGGTCAGCTGATGTGGACAGGGCCTTTAGGAGACTGAAGGACCTGTTTACGTCGGCTCCGGTGCTGGCGCATCCGGATCCCGCATTACCCTTTCAGGTTGAGGTAGACGCGTCTGAGGCTGGTATAGGGGCCGTTCTCTCTCAACGGTCCGGCACGCCACCTAAACTCCGCCCCTGTGCTTTTTACTCAAAAAAGCTCAGCCCGGCGGAGCGTAACTATGACGTTGGGGACAGGGAGCTGTTAGCTGTAGTTCAAGCCCTTAAGGTGTGGAGGCATTGGCTTGAGGGGGCTCAACACCCTTTCCTCATTTTGACTGACCATCGGAACCTGGAGTACATCCGGGCAGCGAGGAGACTGAACCCTCGCCAGGCTCGATGGAGTATGTTTCTCACCAGGTTCGTATTTAAAATCACGTACATCCCTGGGTCCCAGAATGGTAAGGCAGATGCGCTGTCCCGGCGGTATGACACGGAGGAGAGGTCCGTTGAGCCTACTCCCATACTACCGGAGTCTTGCCTTGTGGCACCGGTGGTGTGGGAGGTCGATGCCGAAATCGAGCGAGCGTTGCGTACCGACCCCAGCCCTCCACAGTGTCCTGAGGGTCGGAAGTACGTTCCGCTCGAGATTCGGGATCGACTCATTTACTGGGCTCACACGTCACCCTCCTCTGGACATCCGGGTATTGGCCGGACAGTGCATTGCCTTAGCACTAAATACTGGTGGCCCACTTTGGCTAGGGATGTGAGGGTTTATGTCTCCTCCTGCTCGGTGTACGCCCAGTGTAAGGCGCCCCGACATCTGCCCAGGGGTAAGTTACAACCCCTGCCCGTTCCACAACGACCATGGTCCCACCTCTCGGTGGATTTTGTGACAGACCTTCCCCTCTCTCAGGGGAATACCACCATCCTGGTCGTTGTGGACCGGTTCTCTAAGGCCTGTCGTCTTCTCCCTATGTCAGGTCTTCCTACTGCCCTACAGACCGCTGAGGCCCTATTTACCCACGTCTTCCGGCATTACGGGGTACCCGAGGATATAGTGTCTGATCGAGGCCCCCAGTTTACCTCCCGTGTTTGGAGAGCGTTCATGGAGCGTTTGGGGGTCTCGGTTAGCCTTACCTCAGGGTACCACCCGGAGAGTAACGGGCAGGTAGAACGTGTCAACCAGGATGTGGGTAGGTTTCTGAGGTCGTATTGCCAGGGCCGGCCGGAGGAGTGGGCACGGTACATTCCCTGGGCCGAGATGGCCCAGAACTCTCTCCGCCACTCCTCT